CTGATTGGCTGGAAGTTCAGTAGTCGTTGAAATGATGTCTTGGGAAGCCAATGGTTGGGCGTTGGCTGAAGATGCGGAGTTGTGGGCTGGTTGAAGTTTTGAGGCGGTCACAGACTCGAGGTGAACTCAAAGGCACGGCGTTGCGGCAAAACTTAACTCAGAACACGAAACTCTCAACGGAAAAGAAACTAAAGTAAAAGAAATAAAAGAGTAAAGTTTTGACGAGACTAGGTGGCGTTTCTCCTCATGGTTTTAGAGGAGCTGCTGGCATGCAAGCCAGAGCACGCTGGAACGGCGCTCGAAGAATTCACGGGCAAAAAGCATGGCTAAAAACCCTAATGCAAAAAGCGATGACTAAAAGCATAATTTGGACACATCCCAAATGGTGTCTTGACCAATTAGACATTGTCTTTGCTCGGGGTGTTGCTATGTTTCTCCTCCCAATACATAAATCAACATGTTATCTTATCAGTCACATGGTCTGAATTTTCCCGCTCTTGCAGTGTATAATTTGGGCATGATTTCTATAACAAGAATATAATACATTTTACAAAATACTGATTGATAGAAACGTGTAAAGCATGACAATTCAAACTCATGCATACCCAACATGAATATAATCTTATAAACTATTCAATAGTTATTCAAAATACATGATAGTCAAATGTGTGGGTTACATAAATAATACGGAGTTATGCATAGAAATGATTAGTTGCTCATAAGTCCTTTTAGCATCATTTAGGTGCATATATACATGGAAAGGCAGTTTCTGTGCAATTCTGTGAACGTGAGAATGTGTTCTGTGAGGAACAAAGAGGTTAAAGGTCTCAAAAGGAATCTCAGTCTGGTTCTTGTCCTGGGTGGGGGAAACCACCTAACGAAGTCTTTAGCTCCTGGTTTCTATCATGGATTTACATGTGATTGTCATGCTGTGCTTCTCTTTGACCATTAATCTTGGTTACTTGCCCCAAATTTGACAAACTCCTTCCTGAGTTGGAATTATCAATTATTCAGTTCTTTTGTTTTAATGCTGTGAGCTGCTCAAAGCTGCTAGTTGGTGGACTTGCTTCAGACTGGCTGGCGCTAGGGTATCGTGGACAGATTTATGATGTTGTCTTGTTATCCTGGGCCTCTTTGTGGAATTTGGCTCTTTGGGTTGTTCCAACACCAATCTGATCGAATCTTAAATTGTCTGATTCGCTCTTATACCTTACACATGCATATTACTACCATGTTTGCTGTTTAAGAGTACTTATAAAGCACATATTCTGCATGACCATATTCTACATCTTAATCCTTCCCAATACTTAAACTGAACTATATTTCTAACTATTAATGAGCAGTAATTAGGAGGTTATTTAGGCAATAGTCGTAGTTAATAGTTAGTTAATAGTGAGAACTGGACCTTCAAATAAAGTGTGACCAAAGTTTATTTGCACTTCACACAGACAATTTTAGAAACTAAACTGCAGAGAACAGCTTGTTCAGAAATCTTCAAACTTTTGAGATCTTGACCATGGACCATTTCTGAGGTCATGGGTTTGATTGTCAGCGGGAACACACATGGTGACAAAATGAATGGCTTGAATGCACTGTAGGCCGCTTTGGATAAAAGTATTGATAAAAGCATGTGAACTTTATAAGTGGAGCTAAAAGCTAGAGAAGTGTGGAATGTGACCCCTGTAAAGTTCATGGGAAGTACTGGAGAACCAAGATGAGTGTTTTAATAGATGTGTGCTCATGAGCTCATTCGGCGTGAGTGTTCATAATGTATCTTCACCCCGACCTCACTGCCTCTCTAATGATAATCTTATTAGACCATTAAATCACTCTTTAATTAATGCATAATTTATAGACTCTCATCGGCAAGTCTGAGACCCTGCACACTCTTATTTCATTTTCATTTTTCTTCTCTGATATCTAGCATGACCTCCCCTCGATTCATCGAGTTTGTCTGTAAGCATGATGAAGTGCTGAAGTGTTTTGTGACAAGGTAAGTCAAGGGCATTTATTCATGATAGTTTTTAATAGTTTTTAAAATAATTTCTTAAAGGAATATATGTACTGTATGTGTGTGACCCTGGACCACAAAACCAGTCTTAAAGGGATAGTTCACCCAAAAATGAAAATTTGATGTTTATTTGCTTACCCCCAGGGCATCCAAGATGTAGGTGACTTTGTTTCTTCAGTAGAACACAAACGAAGATTTTTAACTCAAACCGTTGCAGTCTGTCAGTCATATAATGGAAGTGAATGGGAATCACGGCTTTGTGAGTCAAAATATTGAGAAACATACAAAACCAAATTAAACCCTGCGGCTCGTGACGATACATTGATGTGTAAAGACACGAAGCGATCGGTCTGTGTAAGAAACTGAACAGTATTTATATCGTTTTTTTACCTCTGATTCACCGCAATGTCCGAACTGTCCTGAGCGCATGACGCAATGTCCGAACTGTCCCGGCGCGTGACATGTCTTCTTCTTCTTCTTGCTTTATGGCAAATCGCAGACTTATAAGTGCATTACTGCCACTTATCTCTCAAATGGACTATTGACACTCCTAATTGAGATTGTAGAGAGTGTCCATGGTCCATTTGAGAGATAGGTGGCGGTAATGCACTTATAAGCTCAGGACAGTTCGGACATTGCTAACCATACATCAATGGAAAGCTTATTTATTCAGCTTTCAGATGATGTATAAATCTCAATTTCAAGTTTTTTTTATTTTTTATTTATTATTTATTATTTTATTCAGCATGGACACATTAAATCACAGTTTCCACAAAAATATGAAGCAGTACAACTGTTATCAACATTTATAATAAAAAGAAAGGAATGCTTCTTGAGCAGCAAATCAGCATATTAGAATGATTTCTGAAGGATGTGACACTGAAGACTGGAGTAATGTTGAAAATTCGGCTTTGCCATCACAGGAATACATTACATTTTAAAATATATTAAAATAGAAAACACTTACTTAAAATTGTAATGATATTTCACAATGTTACAGGTATTAACTGTATTTTTGTTTAAATAAATGCTGCTTTGTTAAGCATAAATCTTTCAAAAACATTAAAGTCTTAATGACCCTGAACTTTTGAACAATAGTGTATGTGGTATTTTCAAAGTTTTCTAAAGTCACGTGTGATGAACAAAATTTATCAAACATAACTTAACACTTAAAGGGGTCATATGATGTGATTTCATGTTTTCCTTTGTCTTTGGAGCGTTGCAAGCTGTTCGTGCATATATACGATCTGTAAAGTTGCAAAGATTAAAGTCTCAAACCCAAAGAGATATTCTTTCCTAAAGTTAAGACTCATCCACGCCTTCCTAAAGCACCTCATTAAAACACGCCCCCACATATCTACATCACTGTGTGGAACACCGCCCAAATGTTTACGCAAAGACAGAAGGCGTAACTTTTATTCTCGCTGAATGTTTCCAAATATGGTAAGGAGCATAACATTTCCGTCACACGCTTGAGATATTCGGCCAATCAGAGCACACTGCGCTTTTCAGAACGATGAGCTTTGTAAAAATCGACGCGTTTCAGAAAGGCGGGGCATAGAGGAGAAACAATAATGTTCAGTATGTGGAAAATAATGTGTTTTTTGAACCTTAATCTATGTAAACACATTGCATTACACCAAATACACAAAATAATGTTCTTTTTAGCAATGTCATATCGTATGACCCCTTTAAACGCAATAATGAACACTAAGCATCTCCTCTACTGAAGCTTGCGTCCATTCCCGTACTAACTAAATACCAATTCTGGTTGCACCAATTCTAGATGCACTATGATAGGGCTGCATTAAAATCAATTCAAAATTTATTTAAAAAATTATAAAACATCCACGAGTTTGGAATGACATGAGGATGGGTAAATAATAAAGTTTATTTTTCAGGTAAACTTTTCTTTTAACCTTACATTTAGTGCTAGTGGTGTGTTTGTATGTGTGCAAATAAACATGTTTAGGCCTATACTGTACTTGTAAAACACTTTCTCACTATTGCTCATTTACTGTTCCCAGGAATCCCAAAATCATCTTCAACCACTTCCACTTCCTGCTGGAATGTCCCGAGCTCATGTCCCGCTTCATGCATATTATTAAAGGACAGGTAAGCATGACGAGAGACTGAAATAGCTCTTGGAATTGATGTACAATTTGCTAATGAGATCCTGTCCCTGATTTGGACTTCATCAGGGCTCCTCAGCTCCCAAAGGGCCTGAAAAACCTTTGGAGTTACGATGAAATCAAATTCGAGCCTATTTAAGAATCAAGAATAAAATATTTGCCTTCATAATATTTCATCTAAATGCATTAGAGGTATAGATACTGTATGTTTGATTAACTAAAGATTACCATTACATGAAAATTTGAATTTCAATTAATTTTAATACAACAAATGTCTGTATCTCTCTTCTTAAAATGGCGATCCTGGTGCTGTCCCATATCTTATCTTCTCAATGTATTATCAGTTAAAATTATGACACTGCTGTATGATTTTAATATATGAATACAGTTGCGTATACAATTTTAGTGAAAAAAAAAGAAGAAGTAATCATTCAAGTAAACTTAATTGTCAAAAATATACTTGCTGTGTCCCAGCTTTTTATGCAGGGCTCTGTTGCTAGATGATTTTCCACCTATTTTCAAAAATAAATATTATTATAAAATAATATTAAATCCTTCATTTGATAAAACACAAATTATGGTGTCTACAGATATGTTAATAGGATTACTGAGTAATATTGTCAAAAATAAAATATTGACCCACCTAGTTTTTGCCTTGCTCTGTTGCCAGATGATTTCCACCTATTACAAAAATATTTTAATATTAATAATAATATTTGCATTGATCTGACCATAATCACAAAGAAAGGCTTATTGGAAATGCAAATTCATTCTCTGCCACGAGGTGGCGCTTTAGGAGCGCTGAAATATTGCGGTTTCCCCGGTAACGGCTGTACACAAAGCAGCTCCGCGCTCATAAACCCTGCTTTATCCGGAATTGTAAAATGAAATTAAAATGCCAAAGACACATTTCTGAGGACAGTCGGTTCCCTTCAGATACATTCAAATAAAGACATCCGCGACGCTTGTCTTTCCGTCCCCAACTGTAAGACCTCTTGAAATTATACTTAAAGACGTTTCTTATACCATTTAACATATTTAAAACTTTTTATGGCCTTAAGTTTGATACAACTCACTTTAGGAGTTTTTAAGGACCCGCGGGAGATCTGCATTTAAGGTAGCCCATCGGGCAGAGTGGTGATACATTTTGGTAGCCCAACTGGAAAACACAATAGCCCCGGGACGTCGGGCTAGCGATTTTGCGAGCCCTGTTTTGGCACTCCCAGTCATGTAACCCTGTGAGAAGAGAGAAATGATGTGAAACAATAAGCCAAAAGAGACCATTCATTACATTGATTCAACCACAGTTAAAGGGATAGATCACCCAAAAATGACAATTCTGCCATTAATTACTCACCCTCATAACATTCCAAATCCATAAGACCTTCGTTTATCCTTGGAACACACATCTTTAGAACACACTTTTTTTTTTTTTTTTGCTTTTGGAATAAATAGGAGATCAAAAATCATATTTGTCATAGTCTCTTATTCACCACTATAGAAGTTTACCAAACGATGACAACTTCTCTTCTTGAGAATTATGGAAATGTCAAAAGGGTCTGTAAGAGGCAGGTGTGTTTTATTAAAATCTGCCATACAGGGGTCCTTTAACACACAATATACATATATATGAAATTATAAATTTTTAATAAAACTCTACTATTCAATAAAATGTAAGAATATTCTCTGGAAAAAAATCTTAAACAGCCTCAGTTCGGCTACCGTCTGACCAAAATGAGGTATCTTAGAAGGCTGCATATTTGTGCATATTATGCATATATTGGCTATTTTACCAGGTTTTAAAGGGGACATATGATGCGATTTCAAGTTTTCCTTTCTCTTTGGAGTGTTACAAGCTCTTGGTGCATAAAGAAGATCTGTAAAGTTGCAAAGACTAAAGTCTCAAATCCAAAGAGATATTCTTTATAAAAGTTAAG